ATAAAGCAATTCTACACATTGTCTAATTGAATCTGAAAATGCATTGTAGAACAGCAATTTTCCATTCGTGGACCAAATTACAAAGTTGATTTCGATCTAGTACCATCAGTTGATAACCTCACCTTCAGTTTTTCCTCAGTTCCCAGACATTTCATGATATAAAATAAAATTTAAACCTGCAAGAAGGTTACTACAGATTTCGTATTATCTAGTATGCTTACAAACTGATGATGATATTCTAACAGTTTGTGTATTTGTTTTAGCGTAAAGCTACACAGTAGGCCATCAGCGCTCTATCCAACATGAGGAATCAAATTCCAGGATTTTTTTGCGTTCTAACTCTGTAAACTTACTTTCTAATCTTATAAAAATATCTTTACACAATTTCCAATGGCTACAGATGGTAAATGATGATTTACTTGGGCCTGAGCATCTAAGTGTGCTACTAATAATAAACTTCTAAATTCGTTCCAGTAAGGGTTCTGATAGACAGTGTATATCTGTCATTGCGTATGTGTGTTATAATTTGGCAGATACATTTCATCTAAGACACATGTACCTTCTACAGCTACCGTTATGTTACTTGCACTCTAGTTGTATTATCTTTATTTCCTGTAGAATTAAAGGGTTTTTAGTTTGTTTGTAATTAAGCACAAAGCTACACAATGGGCTATCTGTGCTCTGCCCACCACGGGTATCGAAACCTGGATTATAGCGTTGTAAGTCCGCAGACATACCGCTGTGCTACCGGGGGGGGGGCAGGTTTTTTTTAGAAAAACAAAGATGTGCTAAGTTCGAGTGTAGGAAAGAAACATCAGATCGTAGATCGCCATGCAAGATGTAACAGTACCATTGTTTTTATTTTAGCAGAATTTATGGACTAGAAATTATAATTTTGTTAAATATAAATCTGTTAATGAAACATGATGAATTTCTACTTGGTTTAAAAAACTTCAATGCGTATGAAATGTATTTTAACCTAAATGAAAAATGCAACAATTTACGAAAAAAATATTCACTAGAGCAATCACTGTTATTATATTAGTAACCCTAGTTGGGCAAGGGACACACGATATATGGGCATAATTGTACTGACCGAATAAGACTTTTAGAGATTTCTGTGCTCAAAGTAATAAAATGGAACAATATGAATTGCTTCGAATATTATTTTGAAAATTAAGAGAAAACACATCGTTAAATTTTATGACAAGAAATTCTGGCATATTCTTTTGAGAGTATATAATGATATAAAACAATTTTATCATGAGTGAACTTCGAAAATTTCATTTCTAACCAAACTCACTCACCGCGAAAATTATTATCCCATTATTTAAAACTCAAATGGCATATGCAAAATCATATGTTGATTTTGTCCACATTGTAGGTTACATACACACACACACACATGTATAAAAGGCACTCTCTGTTTGTCGGTAACGCTCGACCCCCTGTTGGTAGAGTTCATATTGTGTCAGTAGAGTGTCTCAAGCGAAAGTCTCGAGTTAAAAGTTCAGTCGAGTGGAGATTTTTTTATAACCTTTTAAATTATTAACTAATCAAGTTTAAGGCAAGATATTACAATATTATAAAAACCAGAATAACATGACACTTTGCATGAGGGATTTGAAATACTTGTTAGGATGTCGTTACGAAGAGTGTTT